AAAAGTTATTAGATATCGCAACCGAGCCGGCTTGTGAGGGAACGCGGGTATGTGAGCCGCATAAATTTACCAAGACCCAAATATTGTACGATGAAGTGTAAGTGAGCAGATTTTGGACCTAGTTTTTCTGTTTTAGGTTTATTTTTTTATAGGAGACGGGCAATTAGAAAGTTTGTCTTAGATTGTTACGCTGTGTATTTAAATATCTATTTTTGATAAATACACTAGTTATTTAATAAAACATTTAATGACATATTAATAGAAAAAAAATCAATATAGAAAAAATATGGATGATGAATAATACTTATTGAAAGTCACTCTCTTAATAATATGTTATTATATTAAATTTATTTCTTTGGCAGCCCTCCACTAGATGGAGCGATGACCTCGTAAGACATGCAGGAAGTCGGTGGATGGCAGGTGGCTCAGGACCGTGATTTGTGGCATTATTTAGGTTTATGTTCAGCAATGGACTAGTGAAGGGCCGAAATGATGATGATGATAATATATTTTTTAAATATTGTTTATGGTCCAACCGTATCTACATTTCTGAACCCTATAGTTCAGAATTCCTATATTTCAGCAATTATAAAAAAAAAACTAGCGATCCGCCCCGGCTTCGGCCGGGTGATTTCTGGATCTCGACAACAGCACCACCTACCGGATCCAATTGTGAATCTAATTGATATTAAATTTATATTAATCAAAGTTTTAAACTGCATTTTATTCTTTCATAACATCAATCACTAATAAAAAACTAGATACACAATCAATGACAAAAGTTTCCTTACCGAATGAGCGTCCACTCGAACATTGGGTGCGCATTTAATTTGTACGTAGCTTTGTGAATACAACTTTAGGCAGTGCATTTAAAATTGAATTTACATTAATGTATATTTATTTCAACTAGAACTACGTCAGAACAATTGGCGACAGTTTTTAGAGAACTTTTGCACGGGATTGTGTATCTATTTTATTATTAGTGATCGATGTTACATAACATGTAATAAAATAGAATATTTAACATTATTTATCATATTTAAATTTAATATTTTTTAAATTTTTAATAAACTGTTTTAAAATAAACTTTACATTCCTCCAATACCCAAACATGGGACAGAGCGTCCTATTACCAGATTAAGCACAATAAGGCCCGCCACATACATACGGAATCCCGTTTCGAAATTCCGTTTCGGAATTCCGAACGGTCGGCCACACACAAACGGAATCCCGTTTTGCCCGCAAAATATCGAACGGAAAACTACCGTACGTGTGTGGCGGGTCATAGATTTTATACGGATTTGCTGCGTTCAGGATTCCGAATCGAAATTCCGTATGTATGTGGCCGGCCTAAGTGAGGTGAGGCATAGTAAGTTACATATTTAATAATAACCTTTTATATTTTAAAGAAATTTACGTGTTTCTTTCAACATTTAGTGGGCTTAGCCTTATAATAAGGCAAAAAAACATTGGAATAAAAAAAAAACTGTGATTAAATCCATAAATCATTGGGCCGAACGTTTAGATTTTTATAGAACAAATGAGCACGCAGTCCACCTGATGGTTAGTGGATACTGTGGTTCATAGACAAATATATATTTTCCCTCGATTAAGAATCAAAATTCAGATGTGTCTTAGATGGAAAGCCTCGTTTCCAGTGAAAATCATCTTTAGATATATTTTAAGCACATACACATTTTAATTTTTATATAAATAGATAAATTGACGCCTTCAAATAACGTTGACTGTTTAACCTGCAATAAACCGACTTTTCTACCACAAAAGGCTTTCAAAGTCGTCCACTAAACGGCTTTCAAACCAAAGCATGAATAAATAACATTATTCGACTTCCGCGTTGTTTAAAATAATGTCAAAATTTAACGCAACTTGAGTGACTTCCTAGAGTGCTTTAGCTTTAAATACTTAAGCCCGTCGCTGCAGCATAGATTAAAATGAATTGTAGAGCTTATATCACGTAAAGATAATGTAGTAAAATAATTCATGTTTGGGGGTATTATTCCGAGTCGAGTTAGCTCAGGAGCTAATCGCTTGTATTTTACACAGTACTCAAGCAACGCGGGTTCGAAATTCAAGTGCTGATTTGCCACGTGCTCGACAGGGAAGGAAAACTTTTATACGTGTTTTATACGTGGTATAACCATGCTACAGCTATATAAATATTATAATTGTAGCACGAATGGATCGGCTCGACCGGGGAAGGACCACGTTTTCATATAATACCAGCGTAAAATAGCAGCACAATGCTGTTTTGTTTCGATTGGTGAGAGTAGAGAACCGAAGACTGGTTTTACTGGAAAAGAGGTATTTCATTTTAGTCCTCACGGCTGACAACGCATATGCATTTTATTCGCAAACGAGGATAGATGTAGATTTCTATGGGCCACAGCAACCACTTACCATCAGGTGGACTGTGTGCTTATTTGTCACCCCTATCCTATAAAAAAAAACAATCGCAATACCAGATGTCTTGCACCATGGACGTTATTAATATATACTGACCGAAATATATACCAAGTAAACACAATAATACACAAATTAGACATGTGTCATTTGTAAATGATTCATTTGACCCGTGTCGCATCAAAGTATTGATGATTTGCAAGCAATAAAGTATCGATGATTGCAATTACATTTTTTAACGTTCCGGAACAAACGATTGACAGGACCTATGACCAAAGAGTAGAGTAACGTACGACGACCGATATTATCTAGCGGGTGTCACAGATCTCAGAGTACTGATACTCGAAAGATCTATTTGAATGATCGACCCGAATGACCCGGTTCGTTAGACGAATCAATACTTGAATGATCGGGTCTTTATAAATGAATGAATGACACATGTCTAACACAAATAATATGGTATGTACAGTCAAATGAAAGCTATATATTTCTGGTATTTCTCATAGTTGCTCCTTTCGACACCCAAGACAAGATGGCGCATTGGACACTCTTCCATCACCTCCACATAAACAATATTCAATACAGTCTATAAGCAGGCCTCTGCTGAACATAAGCCTCCCCCATAGCAAATTGCTTCACTAGATGCATATATGTCATAGGTTTCACGCTAGCCGCGTTGACAACTACAGGTTTTTTTATTATTTGGAAATTTTATAAGGATAATGCCGATGCGCAGCTCCTGATTTATTTCTCTACGTCACCTATTACAACATCCACGGGATAACGTTTTGAAACATTTCGTCTATCTCTTGCCAGTTTGTCATACCATCTAGTGGGCGGCCGCCATTCAAATTACTTATTGGTACGCAACTGTCACTCGAAAAACTGACTTCCTCCCTCGATCATTGACGGTTCTTCAAGCTAAAAGCCCGGTCTATTGTCACTTCAGCTTACTGATCTATTGGGATATGTTGGTTGCCCTTGTTTATTTGTTTTGTATTTTAAGAAATCGTTACCTCCACACTAGGATTTTCTCCTGTATCCTGTATCTGTATTTTACTTACATAAATTTCATAGCGGCGAACATCGATACCCGGAACAATAATGTGCAGGCCATACAAATACTTGTTCCGTGCGGGATTCGAACTCACAGCTTTTAGCGCTGCAAGTCATTGCTAAGGCACTGCGCTGTGGTTTCACGTTACTTTGTATAAATACTTTATTGTAAAACGCCCTTTAAGAACATATTGTGTACGAGTAGACATCCAAGACAAATATTTTCTTTTATCTGGATTATAAAGATATGATGTGTAAGAAGTAAAGTTTAGATACAAGTATAATACTTGTTTTCTTTAGAAGACGTACACATTTCGTTAATATTTTCATCTAAATAACAAGTCCTAGCGGTTGTGAGTATAATGGATCACTAAGAGATTAAATTTTTCTCTCGTAGATATATTTTTTTTATCTGTACACATAAATAAAATTGAAGTGTTTGTAATATTGAAATAAACTGGCTTGTAATTAGTTCAAAAGGTTATTTGTGTGCTATTTTGACTTTACTTTAAAATTTTTGTCCGTCCGTCCGTCTGTCTGGCTGTCTATTCGGGATAATTTTCGGAATATCTGAAACGATTGTGATGAAACTTTACGAACAGGTAGAGAGTAATAGTATACAGGCTATATTTTAGGCGAAAAACTTTTTATTCAATGCTTTATTACGTAAAAGTATAGTCAGTTTTCTCTTATACTGAATTTGTCAAATAAAAATAAAATAAAAGTTTGTTGACGAATACATCACCTACTTACATTCTACGTACCTACTGTTTATTTCCCATACTTCCAATCAATATCCTAATCTTGGATTTAAATTTCAAATAGAAAAATTAAATTATAACTTATTACTAATGTTATTTACATCCTTTATTATCTATTTTAACTTATTAATAATTACACATAAAATTAAAAAAATTAAAACGTTAGTTAGTTACTAAATATATGATTAAAACTGTATATTTAATTTATACAATATTAACTATAATTACATGTATAGTTATCCAGCATGCACGCTTTCAACTTCCTTTTAAATATTTCTTTATTATCACATTTGTCTTCAGAAAATATCTCATTGAAAATACGTGGTACTAGATATTTTCTCGTCTTTTAATCTAATAATTCTTAACCCTATGATCAACGTATGTATTTCGAAAAGTAATCCAAGATGGAATGCCTCGTTTTCACTCCGGTTCTCTGCACTAACCTTACGAAACATAGCAGCATTAAGTTGCTATTTTACGCTGGTATACTCTGAGAGCGTGGTCCTTCCCCGTTCTTGATACGACTATATGTTGCGTATGTGTATTTGTATGGCCTACAAATAGTTGTTCCGGGTCTGGATGTTTATCCTTGGGAAATTTATGTCTGTGAACTGCCTCCACGATACAAGAGAAAATCCTAGTGTGGAGTTAACTTAAAAAAAAAAAAACAAATAAAAAAAAATACAATATGTTTTTAAAATGCGTTTTATACAAAACTTTTAATTTGTCTCTACCACCTTGACTAACCTTTCTGTTTTGCAGGTGAATCATCGACCGTGCCAGCGCGCACTACGCCTACCTCAATATCCGCCCCACTTACTGTCCCAATGACAGCACCGCTCGTCGTTCCACTAACAACACCTTTAGCTACTCCGGTACGTATGAAACTATTTTAATCAATGCAACAACGTCTACTGTCAACAACTCGCAGTTGTCATTTTAGTCGGATATTCATAATGTTTCTCAGCTTATTTTCAATACAGCAACTAAATAAAAGATACCTACGAGCAAATACAGTGATCTTACGGATATATACATGCTTGATCTAACGATTATGCGATGGGATCATCGTTAGGTTAAGCCCAGTGTATGAGGAAATAGTATTAGTTAAGGACAATCAAATAAAGTCTGACTGAAAAACCAAATCTTTGGTCAAATGTTTGTTACGGCTGAGATGAAACAGAAACAGAAACTGAAACAGAAATGAATGAAGATGTAATGTAGTAGCGGATTAGTGGAGGCACTAAGATCAACGCCATCACGATCAGGTCTCACGTCGTTTTATGGAATAAGTATGACAAACGAGCACACAGTCCACCTGATGGTAAGTGGTTGCTGTGGCTCATAGACATCTACATCTATCCTCGTTTGCGAATTAAAATGCACATGCGTTGTCAGCTGAGACGACTAAGATGGAATGCCTCTTTTCCAGTAAAATGGGTCTCCGGTTCTCTACACTCACCATACGAAACACAGCAGTGATAAGCTGCTATTTTACGCTGGTATTCTGTGAGAGCGTGATCTTTCCCCGGTCGAGCCGACCCATTCGTGTTACAACTATACTATTAATATAGCTGCAGCATGGCTCTACCACGTAATACGTCGTCATAATTGTATAGAAATGTTAGGTGTAAAAATTGATAAAAATAAAAATTATGACGTGTGTGGAGGAGTAATAAAAACCATCACCCCAATAAATCCCGTGGCTGTCGTAAGAGGCGACTTTAAGAAACGTGAGCAAGATTAGTACTATACAGTTCCAATTATTTTTATTTTTATTACGTATTTTTCTAATCGTTATTTTTTTCTTTGAAATCATCTATTGGAGGCCATGTTGCCTTTATAGCCTTTCTCATATTCGTATGTCACGACATCTACGAGAAGATAATATACGCTCATTCATCACGACACTTGGACAGAGCACACACACTTAGCCCTTTTAAATATTCATTGGGCAGTATGTATTCTTTCATGTTTTTTCCAGCCCATAAATTAAAGCTACAGTAGCCTTATGGTAGTGTGCAGATCACGAAATCTGAAGTTGTAAGTTCGATTACGTCATTCGATTACTGTCGTGAACTACCTAACATACGCATTTCAAGTGTACCCGCGGGGTTAGCCGAGAGAACGTTCTACGATTGTTAACGTTATAGAAAATATTAAAAATGAAAGCTATATTTGATTCTTAATTGAGAATAAATGTAGATGTCTATGAGCTACAGCATCCACTTACCATCAGGTGGACTGTGTGCTCGCATGTCACCCTTATTCTATAAAAAATACCTGATGTTGCGCTTCTTTGACGCTAATCCCGTCACTAGTCTGGATATTTTACGGCAAACTAGATGGTTACATAGTCGCCTATCGTTAGCCATAAGATCATTTTGGCATATCTCATAGTTGCCTCTTCCAAATCTCACGATTCGAAATGTAATATATTCACTTATTCACTTTACTCCAGAAATAGAAATAGCAAAAAACTTCTTTTAAACAAAACTTGTTTTTTACGGATTTTATTCCGTATATTAACTTATTTTATATTCCCGACGTTTCAAGCACTTTACAGCACCATTGTCCACGGGGGTGGGGGGGAGGGGGATGCGAGCACTGCTACTAAACTAATTAACTAGTTTCATTTAAACGTGTAGTGTTCGCGTAAACATGATAAATCATTATAAAAAATTTTATTCAGTATAGTTTATAAATAATACTTATTGAAACGCATTCTTACGTACAATTTATCACTGGTTCGAAAAGAATCAGTAAGAAGCCAAGCGGGATATTTTTTAAAATAACATTTTTGAATCATATATTATTTTACACAATTAACAACACAAAACAAATTAGAAAAACCAAGGTAGCGATCACCTCATTCCGTATTGTAAATATTCTTTTATAAGAATAGCCCTAAACCCAAAAGTGATATATCGCACATTTTTACAGATAAGCAAACAGTTGCCACTTCAACAAGAATCCGATATTTTGTAGTGTTTTTTCTTGCCGATATTTTATTATAAACTGCCCATTGACACTCCTTTAGCGTGTCAGCTTTAAGTTCGCTTCAATTGAACTTTATCGAGTCCTCCACAATAGGGTAGACAATCCAATGGGTTTTAGGGCGATAGTATCGACATCGAGCTGATGTAATGCGGCCTGAGCCACACCCCGCACTCAACTAAACTGGAAACGCGCACAGCATTGATAGGATGGACACATTACCGCAATCCGCTCTATTATCTTATTGGCTTTAGAAAAAATTTGCTTTTAATAAAATGTAAAAGCCGACTTCCATCTTAAAAAGGATAAAATAATTTTACAATCTGAGGTCGGTGCAAACAAGCAGTATAAAAAGAATTTAAGCCTTGTTGACTTCAGTTTTTAATATCGGGTTTTAGATATTTTTTTAAATTATTAACTATGATTTTCTAAATATTTTAAAAACACTGATGAATATCACAATAGCATTTTCGTCTAAATAAAAGTTATTTAAATTTAAGTTACAGCCTATATACGTCCCACTGCAGGCCACAGGTCTTCTCTCATTTCTGTGAGGGTTTTAGGACAAGGAAATATCCGCCGCGATGACCTTATGCGTATTGGCGACCTTCACATGTTTTAGAAATATTTTTTTCCTTATTTCTCAGACAACATGCATGTTTCCTTACGATAATTTGCAGAAAATTTTACAATTGGACTTCATGGGTAGTAAGTTTTTTTGCGCGGAACCCTTATTCTTTTTCTAAAATAAAAGTAGCCTAATTATAACAAAACAAATTTAAAAATTGTTTTTGTTATAAGTGCCGTATATACTTTCATATTGCATTTCGTAAAATTCTGTTATTTTGACATTACAAGCAGACACTTCAGTTTTATTTATTTGTATAGATTTATTTGAAACTTCCCGGTTTGGTAGCGTAGTGGTGGCTGCTGGACCGGCAGGTTTGAATCCCGCAAGGAACATGTGATTGTTGAGCCTACAAATAATTTTTCCAGGTTGCGATTTTGTTTATATTTTTACAATTATCTATTATATTAGTGGAATATAAATCACATACACCGCGGAAAATACTCATAGGAATTTGTCGGATTAACTGAAGAAACACAACTTGAAATTCCATCCACATCATTTCCATGGTTGGGCGTCGACAACCGTGCGTTTTACTCAGAATTTTCTGCTATATATTATAGAACAAACAGTCGTCAGCGGTTTTTCGGACAGATAAGACTTAGGGACATTCAATCAAAAAGCCTACTCCTTTAAAAAATGCCGGCAACGTATATTCCTCTGGAGTTGCAGATGTTTATGGGTGACGGTAATCCCTAAGTGTCATATGAGCCTTAAGCTCGCTGTCTGCTCTAATACAAAAAGGAAATTTTAAAATTAAGATTTTTTATCAATTAATTCAAATTTACTCTTAAACTTCCTTCTTGGTATTCAGAGACAGTCTCGAGTTGGAACTATATATACATATACAATGCTGAGTTTGAGCTTAAACTCGAGATTATTTTTGAGATAAAATCCTCTCAGGAATGAGAAATACTAGAGTGGACTCATTACTTATATTTTCAGGTAGCATGAAATATGCAAAAAGAATCATCGAGTAAGCAAATAGAATCATATCCATTACAATGCAAATTCTGCGAATATTGCCACAAAATATGCATTGCAATTTAAGAAACTGGCGGTAATAAAGTGCATGTTTCCGTATCATTTTACTTCATGTTCATTTTCCAATTTACTTGGTAGAGCTACGCCGTAGCTTTAGTATGGTTGTAGTACGAATGGGTCGGCTCGACCGGGGAAGGACCACGCTCTCACAGAATGCCAGCGTAAAATAACATCTAATGCTGCTGTGTTTCATACGGCGAGAGTGGAGAACCGGAGACACTTTTTACTAGAAACGAGGCATTCCGTCTTAGCTCTCAGAGGTGACAACGCATCTTCATTTTGATTCTTAATCGAGGATAAATATAGATGGCTATGAGCCACAGCATCCGTTTACCATCAGGTGGATTGCGTGCTCGTTTGTCACTGTTATCCTATAAAAAAAAAAAAAAACAAGAAACTTCCTCTTTTGAAGTTGTTCGCCTTCGAAATGATAAATTAATAAAAAAAAATAATGAAGTTGTTTTGTCTCAGGTGAGTACGTGGGCACCTCGTAGCGCATCCGGCACGTTGCGAACAGCCGACCTCAACGTCGACTCTATAAAGGAGAAGCTTCTAGATAATCGGATCCCGGAGTCGTGCGTCTAGTGAAATACAACGCTCGACGAGCCTGTGTCACGATTTCAACTTTAATGACGTATTATTTAGCTTACCATACATAAACTTGCTTCAAATTATATTTTAGATAATTGTGGATTTTTCTCTTAACGTCCAGTGGGTGTCGTAAGAAGTGACAGGGTACAGGGGGAAACTAACAAGGAGTTGGACAGCAGCTTCTCCCTAATAACAACTAACCATAAATACTGCTCCATCTGCCACTCAATACCTACATTAATTCCTGAAAGAGTTTTAGGACAATGAAGTCTTGTCTTAATTTTTTTTTATTTCTTAGACTTGCAGATTCACTCAAGCTTTTTTTACCGCCAAGCACGTGGTAAGTCAGGTAATAATTGCAACTAAAATTTAATTGATGCCGGTGGGCATAGAACATGTGTTTGCTTGCGTACTGTATATGTAAAATGTACTGCTAGCGCTTAGCTTACCACCAGGTTCTAAATAGGCTATATTTCCTATTTCGCCTCTTACAATACCCGAGGAACGAAATGTAGAAATGGTTTCTGCTTAAGCTGTCATAAATCAGCATGGATTATTAAATTAAATTTAATTTTTTTAAATTTTATTAAACGTGTAGAAAAGGAAATAATTTTAACGGTATATATTATTATTTTGTATCTTCGTAGACATTTTTGTATATTCAGTTTTTTTTTATTGACGAAAATATACAATTAATATAATATTGCGTAATTCCCTGCGACAATTGGGAAGACGTTAACGTCATTGAATAATAAAAATTACATATAATTTGTCTTAAAAAATTCAAAAATAAGCTCTACGGTCTTTTGACTAATATTTATTTTCAAATCTTTTTGAATTATGGTTTAAAGAAATAAAATTATTTAAAACTATATTTAATATACCTATTATGTTCTTTAGAACTATTGTTTATGTACGTCCTTAATTGTACTCGTGACACGGGCAAAGTACTCAAAAACGTTGTGCTGCTGTATTTTCGCAAACACTGTCCTATGTAAATGTAAATTAAATAGGTAGAGGCCTCCATAATTGAGGTAATTTCATCGCAATTTTTTTACTCGCCCGTTGAGTATCCGATATCGACAATTTCCTACCGTTCGACTCACTCCGGAAGTGTATCATTATGATTAAACGAATCAGTTCGAACGAAATCGAATACTCATCACGTGATTTTATAAAAATCGAAGACTTTGAATTGTAATTTTTGTTTCAGCAAGAAATCTTTGTGATGTAAATAATAGGTTGTAAGCGACTGATTCTTTGCCACTTTTTTACATGTCTACGAACTCTAGATAATATTTTATTCGTTCATTAAAAACAATAAGTGAATGGAGTCGTCGTTATCTGTAAAAATTTATTTTTGGTTTGTAAATAGAGTTTGTACTTTGAATTGTATAGTTTAAAGTTGTCTTGGGAGAGTCACCGGTAGTTTTAAATTGATGGTTTATTTTTAAATCGGTCAGCTAAGAGTTAGTTTTTTGTGTTGTGAAAAAGATATAAAAACAAGATCTTGTACTGTAAGTAGAAAGATATTACCAAGAAGTTGTCTATCCTTTAAGATCCAGAATTAATGCTTGTGAATTTCAGTTTTTATATATACAAAAGTTTCACAAAAAATACAAATTCTTAAATTAAACAAGATTCATAACATAATCTTGTTATGTGTACAATCTAGACTAACAGTTTCCCTGTCCGAAAAATAGACACAAAATTTTACGATTAAAATATTCATATATTACAACACACGGGACAGGATAAGGGTATAATGCATCGTGCAGAAATATTAGTGGAATGTGTCCTTTATCACTGAATATTTTAGACATATCATAAACAGAATATCGTATTACTCATTTATGAATGACAAAAAACGGCTCTTTTAATTTTGTATACAACCTATAACGTAATAAATAAATGCTCTGAAATAAATATTTCTCATATCTTTAACTAAATTGACTTCTTCGCATTTTAATGCAAGTTTTATCTTAATCTTTTTTAAATCTGAAGTGAGAAACAAAATTAATAGTTGTGTACACCTGCCGCCAATATCAAACAGAAAAGACTATATAATATGCGTTGTGTGCACAGCCTGTAACTGTACTCGTTTTCTATATCCTTTAGACTTGAATACAGCAGAGGAAGCATTGTTATTTGGCGGTAAATATAGGTAAAAGTCACCCTCTTACTTACATACATGCATAGACGGACACGTAGACAGAAAAGGAGTCTTACAACCTACTAAAACTACCTGCAATCCACACCTATGACCTAGTAATAAAATATTTTGAGGAATGCGCATCTTCATCTTCAAACTATTTTATTGCACAGACATTTTTTTTAATATAGAATAAGGGCAGACAGTCCACCTGATGGTAAGTGGTTGCTCTGTCCCATAGACATCTACATTTATCCTCCATTAAGAATCAAAAACGTAATGCAATCAATTAGAGATGCAGGTTTCCTCACGATGTTTTCTTTTACCGCAGAGTAGTTTTGAGTGGTGTTAGCACGGACCTTACTCGGTTTGCTAAACCGAGTTAGGTCTATATTTATTATTATTATTGTTTACTATATGTACTGGTTTCGCAGTTAGCTCGTATGGAACTCATATGTACTAAACAAGTCGTTTATTTATTGTGTTAGTGGTTGTATATTAGATGTGATGTATATTTTGGACAATTTTAACGATTTTTTTTTGTAGATTAAGCTATGTTACACATTTACATATCATTTAAAATCCATCATATCATATGTACTTGACTTGTATGGTAGAGCATCATTGCTACTCTGTTTTTATTAACGAGTGTCTCTTTTAAACATTTCTGTTAGCATTACCGACTGATCTTGGTGAATATAGAATCGTACTATGATTAGGTAATTTAATTTGTAAGTAAGAAGTGATTTGTTACTATAAAGTTTAAAATAACTCAAAGAGTTCGCCCTACTGTTGACTTATTTATTTTTGAAGAGAATAAAGGTTGTCTTGAAAGAAAGTGTTGTGTTTATCGTTTTCCTTCTCCAGAAATTTTTGTTTCCATTTATCGTAAACAATTTTAGGAATGTTTCTATTTTATTGCAATTCTAGAAATACTTTTTTTAAGTATTAGGGTGACAAACGAGCACTCAGTTCACGTGATTGTAAGTGAATGCTGTGACCCATAGACGTCATCATCTAACCACAATTATGAATCAAAATGCAGATGATTTGTCACCCGTGAGGACTAAGATTGAATGCCTCATTTCCAGTAAAAAGGGTCTACGGTTCTTTTCTCTCGCCGTACGTAACATAACAGCGTCAAGCTGCTATTTTACGCTGGTATTCTATTAGAGCGTGGTGCTACCCCGGTCGAGCCGTACCACACACGTCGTGCTACAATCATGGTATAGCTCCAGCATGGCTCTGCCACGTATGCTTGCTTACTATATTCCACTAGGAATAAAGCTTGTATATTTTATATGTTCGGTGCTTGCTGACGCATTCCACATATTATAGAAATATTTTTATTCCTTAGACATCCAGGTTTCCTCACGATGTTATCCTTCACTACCGAACGTGTGGTTAACCAGCAGTTAAAATTGCAATAAAAATACATTGGTGCCGGCGAGGATGAAGTTCGAGCCCCTGGCTTTTACTAATTACAAAGTAACTTCATTTAGTTTTCAGATAAGGCGCAAGGCGAAATTTTGGTGAATTAGTTTTTGAAGTAAAACTATGCATAGATATGTAATAATAACGTGTTCACAGAAGCTTTCAACAGATTTAGTATAAAATATGTATGACCTAGTTATAAGGGTGAAAGTTGCTCAGCACTATTGCTTTGTTTTGAGGGTAAGTGGATAATAATATCAAGGGACACAAGGAAAGTCGTTAGGGCGGGTGCCGTTGAAATGAATCATAATGGCCGCCTCCATGAAGATCTTGGGGTGGTTCAAACGTTAAATAATGTAAACGGCTTTAAGATGTAAAAATGCACCGTCGTTTTTTATGTGAGAAAATTCTATTGTCTGTTAAAGTAAAAAAAAATGTATTCTAATTGCTTTGTTTTCGAATCTAAAATTTAAAAAAGATATCTGGTGGGGTTTATGGGGGATATAATTACTAGAGACAATCTCGTGGGTATCAAAAGATGGGACAGAGGAAAACAAATCAGGAGATGGGCAGCAGCGTTTTCCTAATAATGACTAAAGATAAAAAACTGCGGTTGCTAAACCGTTTGCCACTATGCGTGGCAACTATAGCAAATGTGGCAATATAAGGGGGAGGTCTATTGACAGCAGTGGACAAGAGAAGTAAACTGTGAACTAACGAAGGAGGTTTTTATGGACGACTCATGGTGGGAGACCTTTCTAAAACTTATTCTTTCTTCTTCTTTATAGGCCCCTAAAAGTCTACTGCTGGGTAGAATGGAATAAAATAAAGTTTTTTTCTACCGACTTCAAAAAAAGACGGTGCTCAATTCAACTGTATGTTTTTTTATGTGTTACCTTATAACTTTTTACTGGGTGAACAGATTTCGATATATATACTATATACTACTAATATAGATGCAGCATGGCGCTACACATGGTAGAAATTTATTATTATTTATGTTCATTCATGTGTTCCTTAATATTATAATAAACCTTTTTTTCTTTACATGTACATAACACTCAACAAGATAGAGAAACTATTATACAATTAGTTTGTACAAAGGTTGTTGTTGTAAAACCATATAAATGGTTATGGTTTTCTCACGTTGTAGGGAGGAATTGCTCTAATCGCCACGCTTGGTGGATTGTCGATTGCAGTTCCAGACGTTTCGCACCTTTAAAATTAATTGAAGTGCAATAAAATTATTGTTATTCGTCGCAAGATATTATAATTTTCTTTATAAAGCGTCAAAATGTTTTTAAATCTACTAACCTACTGCCGTTCAATAGGAAGTTTGTTTATTAATTGATTTTATCCTTAGTATACACCTTATATTTAGGGATGTAAGGGACTGACTTAATGGCTT